GATAATCCCTACTTCTGCTGTATCCCTAACAGGCCTCGTCATATTTCCCAAAGCATGGATAGTCAGGTTATCCCTGCATACCAATGTCTGCTGTTCTCTAGAACCTCCAGGAGAAAGTCCAGACTCCCTGGCCCGGCACGTAAGGCCCCAGCATTCTTCTCTTTCTCAGGCTCCCTGCTGTATACTCCAAACTGGCACACTTGAAGTTCCCAGAACTGATCCTGTGCGGTTCCTTCACACCTGCCAGGTGCAGTCCTCCCTCTAACGACCGGGCCCCTTGCCTCATTGCTGCCTCTTCTCTGCCTGGATGGAAGCTGCCATCCTGTCCTTGGCACTGCCTCCCAGGGCCCCTCTGGGACAGTTCCATTTTACAGCAGATGCCTCTGCAGCTGCTTCCATTGTGTGCTAATGTGTCTGTCCGTTTCTCCCTTCAGATCTATGCTCTCAACAGAGTCATGACGGAGCTGGAGCAGCAGCAGTTTGATGAGTTCTGTAAGCAGATGCAGCCGTCTGGGGAGTGAGTCAGCCTTCCAGTCAGAGGACCTGGAACCTTTGTCTGTGAGCCTCTTCCCACAGTTAGGCTGAGCTGGCCCACTGGAGCCTTACAGAACTAGACAGACTGTGGAGAACTCTGCACTGAACTTCCTGTAGGTAACTTCCACCACTCTGGTTTCTCCTCTCAGAACTGGCCCAGTGCTTGCTGGGTAGATTTTTCATCTAGGACAGCAGATTTTTAAAACCTTTTTTCTATTGTTTGAGAAAAATCATTGTTTCTTGTCAAACTGTGTGTCTTCCCTAAAAAATAATAAAATACAGAATGTTCATTTGTTCTTACTTTAGGGTGGGAGTGCCTACTCATAGAAAGTGGAACAGAAAAATGGAGTAGGTGAGGACTGGAGGCATGACTCAGTGGTTAAGAGCACTGGCTGTTCTTGCAGAGGACCCAGGTTTAGTTCTCAGCATCCAGTTCACAGCCACCTGAAACTAGCTCCAGGGTATCCATCATCATTTTCTGACCTCTGTGGGCACTGCATTCACACACACATAACCACACAAAGACCCATATTTACATACATACGTGTAAATATACACATAATTAAAAATAATATAGGTCTAAAAAAAAAAAAAGCTGGGCATGGTGATGCATACCTTTAATTCCAGCACTCAGGAGCAGAGGCAAGCAGATACCTGTGAGTTTGACATCGGCCTGTTTACATAGCAAGTTTCAGGGTAGCCAAAGCTATGGAGTGAGACCTTGTCTCAAATATAAACACACACCACACATAGGAGGAATGAGATCCAGTGTCTGCGGGGACAGTGATGTCGGCATTGCCTTGAGAAAAAGGACAGCTCATTACTTCTCTTGAAAGGAAAGAACACAGGAGTTGGTGGATTTGGTAAGGGGACGGCACTGGGGACCGCACAACACCAAGCAGCACTGACTAAGGTGTTCTCTAGCCCTGTTGGGCTTTGCTCAGCAGCTAACGAGGAAGCAGAGAAGGGAGGTGCGTGCTCCCTATGCATGGATTAGAATGATGGGCCTGGCTCTAAGCTGTGTAAAAATGTAAACAAGAGCCAGACCTGGTGGCACATGCCTATAATCCCAGCACGTGGGAGGCTGAGGCAGGAGGATCAGTTTGAGGCCAGCCTGGGCCACATGGTGAGACCCTGACTCAGTAAATGAGAACTGGCAGAGGGTAAGAGGCTTTGAAAGGTGTCCAAGGCTCATGGGTTAGAGTTTTTGTGGCTGAAATTGAGCTTCTCGAAGTACTGGAAGTGATGATCAGAGAAGAGAATGCCAGGAACAGACCCGAGAGGCTGCTCTTACTGGAAAGGACAGAGCCTAGAGAATTACTGTGGAAGGCTGAAGTAAGATGGAGGACCAGAGATCTTTGGAGTTTGTTAGTTGCTGGAGGACTGGGAAGCCAGAGTACTAGGATAGTCATCTTCGAGAACCATGTGTGTCAGGATTTTGTCAGGTGACCTTGGGCAAGTGACTTCACTTTTTGTGTATTCAGTAAGATGGAGAGAACCACGTCTGAAGTGCACCTGTTGCACAGTAAGTGCTCAGAAAACAGCACAGCTGTGTGTTAGCTCAGACCCCAGTCCCTCTAAACCCTAAAAGGCGCCCTTACTCTATAATCAGCAAAAAATTAGAAGCTGTGGTGGCAATGAGGTAATCTGTGCACTGGGAGATGATTCCCATTGTTACTACTGTTTCTGGTGACGATGGACAGGGAGGACTGTAGACCCTTCCCCTTTCCCCTTCCTTCCTCCCTCCCTTTTTTCCTTCCTTCCCTCCCCTTCAACAAAAGGCAGAAAGCATATTCCCTCCTAAATGAGCAGGTGGTAGAAAAAAAAAAGAACACGCCTGCCTCCCAGGGTTGTTGTAGGCCCTGCTGATCACAGGCATCCAGTTACACACATAAATCTATGAGACCCTTTACTCCCATTTGAGCTACTAGCCAGGGTTGAGGGATGGGAAGCTAGGATTCCCCCCCTTCCTGTGACTGCAGAGTGCTAACAGCTGCTCCAGGAAGGCAGACCAGGTACTTTTTGGGTTTCATTCTGGGACTGTCCTACCAGGCCTAGAGTCAGGTTTGTGAAGAGAATGTTCAGACTGGTCCCTTGGGAACCAAACACCCATCACCCAGCTTCCTCTTTAGGGGTAGAGGCATAAAGTTCTCTGCCCCAGGTTGTGCTTCAGGAGTGTAGTTTATACCAACATGTTTGCAGCAGGGTTATTGCAATGCTGAGCAGATACTGGGATTAAGGATGTGTGCTACCATGCCTGGCTAAAATTAAAAATCTATTTTGAAAAGTTTGAAGAATTCTTAAATTTTTCCTTTTATTCATCCTTCATAATATGGATCCAATTAAATGATGAATTCAAGAATTCAGTGAGGGAAAAATGGGTAAAAAAAAAAAATCATCTTAGGGGCTGGAGAGATAGCTCAGTGATTAAGAACACTGACTGTTCTACAAGACCCAGGTTCAATTCCCAGCACCCACATGGCTGCTCAGAACTGTAACTCCAATGTGTGACACCCTCACCTAGGCATACATACAGGTAAAACACCAATGCACACAAAATAAAAACAAATTAATTTTAAAAAATGATAAACACACACACAAACCCTCTGACAGAGCTGGAGAGATGGCTCAGCAGTTAAGAGCACTGACTGCTCTTCCAGAGGAACCAGGTTCAATTCCCAGGACCCACATGGCAGCTCACAATTGTAACTCCAAGATCTAACACTCTTCACACAGATACACATGCAGGCAAAACACCAATGCACATAAAAAAATGAAAATAAATTTTAAAATACATATCTTATGAAGCCTGACAACCTGGAGGATGTAAATGGTGTTCATGACAATAAACTTTTGAACATTTCCCTAAAAACCTAGAGAAAATTACATAGTAGTTTGTACCCTGGATAATCCCATTGGGAAATTTTTGGGTAGTAGGAAGGAATTAAGCTCACAATTGTAGACCTGAGTTTTCCAAAATTCCAGTTTTCATATGAAAGCCCACTAAAAAAAAAAAAAAAAAAAAAAAAAAAAATGTATTTCAAGCATTTGTCTGTATGAGTCTAGAGTGGCAAAAGAGGGCGTGGTATCCTGAAACTGGGGTCACAGATGGTTGTGCCCTGACACGTTCTGACATGCTGATGCTGGAAATGAAACCTAGGTCCTCCTCAAAAGGAGCCAATGCTCTTAATTACTAAGCTGTCCCTCCAACCCCCCAAAACTCACAGTCCCCTACCTCTAGCAACAGGATTTTTCTTGAATTGGCAGGCACACTGGGTTCTTACTTCAAGAAAGCCCAGTTCGTGTGTTAGTCTTCCCAGGAGGGAGTAAAGCTTCCATGCTACAAGTGAGAACATTGGCTTATAGAGATTAAACATTGCACTCAGGATACCTACAAAAGCAGGAGGTTTCCCTCATGGGATCTCACTCAGACATGGAGAGGTGCTTCCAAAGGGGAATCTCCACCATCCTGGGTGTAGACCAGAAACCTGCCCAGACTCCTTGACTTCATTCATGTGCTTTCACATTATCCTTTACCCTAGGTGAAAGCCCAGGAAGTCTCAGGAAACACTGCTTTCTGGGAGATAAAGATGCGGAATGGTGAGCTGGCAACTGAGCCCCCAGCTGTACCACCAACACTGCTCTTAAAACTATAAAGGCAAAAAAAAAAAAAAAAAAAAAAAAAAACTTTAAAGGCAGATGCAGAGGAGCTCAGGCGACACCGTGGGGCAAGTGGCAGAATTGGCCAACAGTCCTTTGGATGTCCCACCTGAAGACAGAATCCAGAGTGATACTGGGACTCCCTGGTTCTTCTCCATGGGGTGCAACTTTAGGATACAATATAATAGTGTGCATTATTTCTGTCTGGTTTGTATTTTAAAAGGCAAAGTGGTATCTGAGTAGAGTTTAGTGTTTGAGAACTTAGAAAAGAAACATACAGAATGAGATCCTAGAAGCCAGATTCTTAGACTTTCTGTTGGTAGACAGCCATTGTTGGACTAACTGTACCATAGCCTGTAAGCCACATACACACACATACACATGAGTGGTTTAAAGGTTAACAAATCCCATATACATATATATATATATTAGACTTGCTTATAGGCCTAAAGATATATATTATATAAATAATGTATTATATAGAAATAGATTATAGAGGTAGATAGATGATAGAGATCCATCCTATCATCTCTGCACCTGCCTAATACACCAGGTGATACATTTAGGCTGCCAATCAATTTTTTTTTTTGAGATAGAGTCTCATGTATCCAAGGCTGGGTTTGAGTTTCAGCCCAAAACTTATCTTGGAAATAAAAGTCTATCCTCCATGACTGAGACAAGTATTACCCAAAAGGGAGTCTGAACCCTGAATAAGGAGAAAGAAGCAAAGGCTTATGGGCCCACTGTGGGTCGACGTGATTCAGGACAAGAGAGAGCGTACACCAAGCGTAAGACAACACGGTGCCAAAAAAGCTTTAGTGGATAAGCAGGTGTTGGTACAGCATGCTAATCGTAGAGCCCACCAGGCCAGCAGGAGTGGTGAAGGTATGGTTTCCCTGCACTAGATCTTAACACAAACTCCCTTGCCCCACAGGGCATCTGGGAAGAAGATATACGAGAGTGACCATATCAGGCAGTAAACGGCGGTGAGCGAGAACGGGCAAAAAAACAGCATGATGATACCTGTAAAGAGAAAAGCAGACACTCAGTTTCATAGAGGGTCTCACGGCTCCTACCCCACTCTCTGTCCCTCTCAGGTCACTCACAGAGCTGAGGAAACAGCAACAAGAGAAGCAGGAGCCCATGTTTGAGTTCAGTGTAGTAAGTATATGTAAGCCGCTAATGGAAGCTACTGCACTCTCAGGTCCGTTCTGGTGATCTCAGGTCAGAAGCCAAGTCCTGTCAAGGCTGAATTCAAGTTGACCCGAGCCTTTCTATTGGGAGGTGGGGTTACTTCCTAGTTGTTTGGAGTCCAGCATGCAATGTTACATGCCTGAGACTGCTTACAGAGCGGCTGGACCCCTCCACCAATGACGGAGTGATCACAGTGGCTCACTGTGCCTGCCCCGTGCAAGTATTCGGTCTGTGCTGCACACCCCACTTTCCTTCTGGAGGCTGGAATTTGGTCCCTGCTAGGCAGAGGGTGCCTATGTGAGGCTCCGATGACCCTCCCTGGAAGACAGTGCTTCATGTGACTGACCACAGCTCAGGGCTTGAGGAACGGAGTGTGACTGACCCCACCTGGAGGGGCTCTGGGGAGCTAGCATCCTGTTTCCATCTGCTGATTCTGCACCACCTCCTTGGCTTGTTTGTCTGTCTGTTTGTTTTAGGTTTTTGTTGTTGTTTGGTTGGTTGGGTTTTTGTTTTTTGAGAAAGCCTTTCTCTCTGCAGCCTTGGCTGTCCCGGACTCTGTAGACCAGGCTGGCCTTGAACTCATAGAGATCTGACTGCCTCTGCCTCTGTGCTGGGGCATTACAGGCATGTACCACCAAGCCCTGCTTGTCTTGTTTTGCTTTTTGGGGGGCTTTGTTTTTTTTTAGGTTTGTTTGTTTGTTTGTTTGTTTTAGTTTTTTGAGACAGAGTTTCTCTGTTATAGCCCTGCTGTCCTGAAACTGGCTCTGTAGACCAGGCCTAGAACTCAAAGATCCAACTGCCTCTGCCTCCTGAGTGCTGAGAATAAAGGCATGTGCCACCACGCCGGGCCATAGCCTTGTGTTCTAACCAGTCTTAGCTATGAATACGACAACATGCTGAGTCCTGAGGCCCCTCCGAGGAAATTACTGAACTTAGATGTAGTCTCAGGTATGCCCAAGACAATCTGAATTTCAGATGAAACACTGTCAGACATAGGGACTCCAAAGTTACTGGCCATCTATTGAGTACTAGATGGCCTGCTAGGGAACACCTGCTCAGTACTAGGTACCCCGCTAGGTAACATCTATCTCCTCAGGACTTGGTACTCTGCTCAGTACTACAGATTGTTCACTGACACTTCACAACACTCCCATGACTTAGAATTACATCTATTTTTCTCATAAGAGACAGGAAAGTAACCTGCATAAAAACCTGATTCAAGTCCAAGCCTGCTTGATCTTTAAAAACTAGACATTCTGCCTCAGTTAACTCAACAAGAATATAGGGCATCAGTGGTCTCATGACAGGATCTCATCCAGCCCAGGCTGGCCTCAAACTTGCTGTATAGCTAGGGATGACTTTGAACTTCTGATCCTTCTGCCTCCCCCTCCTAAGGACTGAGACTACAGGTGTGCACCACCCCCGCCAGTGTCTGTAGTACTAGAGATCAAACCACAGGGATCCATGCAAGCTAAGCAAGTACCCTACCAACTGGACTGCATCCCCCAACCTGCTCCCATGTATTCTGTGAGATCCCATTAGATCATGACAGGTAACCTAACAAAAGGTCACTTCTGGGGAAAAGCATCAAGAGATGTTAAGATGTGCTAGAGTTGTGGAACACTACAACTGAAGAGTAGTCAATGATCTGTGAGGCAAGGAGGTGATGTTTAAAGCCAGAGTTGTCCTAAAAAATAGAGGGCATTCACTCTCCAGTACTGCCCGTGAGCCAGCTTCTCAAAGTCTGGAGCTCTGTAGTCTGTGGTCTTCAGTCTAAGGTGACCACTGTTCCCCAAGCAAGCAGAATATCAGCAGCAACAACTTTGAAATGTGCACAATAACTAGCATTAACTGGTGTCAGAACTTATGAGATGCTGTTTCCTCCTTGACTCATGGAGCAAAGAAACCTAGGAGTCTCATGCTAGGTGTGTGGGTTTATTTTGAGCAAAGGGGATCAACTCTAGGAGCAGTGATCTCTGAGGGAAACACTTGCTATGGGCTAGGAGAGGGGAGGTGGAAAAGATGGAGCAGGAATTGTTATTTTCAGTCCAGGACCCTACCAGAGAATTACCTCCTTGCTTAATTCAATCCTAGTGAGCCTGCAAGCTAGCAACTGGGGGCTTTAATTATAGGTGAAGAAAACTGACTTCAAAATGGTGAGGTATTAGCCCAAGTTTATACAATAACCAGTGAGAGCTTCACCTGAGGAACATTTAGCTACACATCCAGGCTCTCCCAGTCTGCCTCTGCCATTTGGGCATAGGGAAGCCAGCTCCCAGAACTTGGACAAGGATGTGGTACTAATGCCACTGAAGATATAAATCCGAAGGAAGCCAACTGTAACAACAGAGTGGATTCACAGCAAAGGAATAATGGCAGAATCTCCAGCCCCCAGCGACACTTGTCTAGTTCACATGCACACATTGCAAAAGGCAAACTAATCCTTAAAGGAAACCCTAACTCAGGCCGAATGCTGGGGGCATCTCCCAAGGCTGGAACCTACACTTAGCTGCTTACGCCGAACTTCCCTCAGTGTCAGCTCTAGCTCCAACACCTCTCAAGTCCAGTTGATTCTCTTCCTCCACCACACCACCATCTCCCATCTCAATACCTTCTGGTACTCTGTTGTCTGTTTTCCACACCACAGTCCAAGTGATGCCTGGAAGCTGCTGCCTGATTTCACCCAAGGTGCTCATCTGCCTTTAGGATCAAATCTCAAATCCCGCCCAGTCTGCCCACTTCACCGGCCTAAGTTTTTGTCACTGGCTTTCCACACATGCACTAATGCTCCCAGTACCTTCTTGGCCTCCAGTCACCACAAAACAGTATCCTCTGCCCGAAACACCCTTCCTACTCGTCTTTCAGATCTCACTTAAACATCCCTCCTTAAGCAGCATGCCCTCCTCTCACATCCCTCAGTCTAAATGAGTCACCATCTGAGACCACAGGGTAACCATAAATACAGGGGCAGTTGTTTGAATATCACTCTACAGCTCAGGCTGTCCTGGCACTCATTATATTTTGAATTTGCAGTGATCCAGCCTCAGCATCCTAAGAACTGGAATTATACACATAAGCCACTATACCCAGCTTTGTTTGTTTGCAATTATTTTTGGCATTTTTTTATTTGTTACTTTATTTTGGTTCTCAGTAACTTCCTCCCTCCCTGAGACAAGGACTACTTTAGCAGACTTGACTCCCAGTACCGGGCACATAGTCATGTGCTCCCCATACCAAACCCATTAACATTAGGTAGCTATTTATTGAGCACAGCCTAATCCTGTGCACTGGAAATGAGCATGAAGGGAACAGTCCTAAATGTGCAGGTGAGCACAGTTAGTATTCTCAGACATTAAAGAAACAATAGTAAATATGTGTGCTGTCGAATAACGACAAAGTCGAAGGTGAGAGATGCACGAGAGCGCAGTGCACGGGCAATGCTGCAGCGTGACCACAGCGTGACCATAAGCATGTGGCAGCTCTTTGAACTCACCTCCCAAATAAACTACTTTTTTCCAGTTCTCCGATTCCAGGATTTCATCATGTGGGTAGCAACTCTGGTCGACCATGAACAGAATCATGAGTGAAGCCATGCAGCAGAGAATGAATGTGTTGCCCTTGGTCAGAAGGCAGGTGGAGGCCAACACACAGGAAGCGTAGGGGCAGGGTAGGCCCTTGTATGTACAGGGACCTCCTCCTAAGGAAAGACCAGGGATCAGCGGCTTCCCGGCTCTCAGGACATCTATCACTTTGGGTCTCCCTGAGCCCAGGAGTGCGGCTGTCCTCTGGTTATCCACAAGTACATGTGCAGCTTTGGGTTTGTGTTGTTTTCTGAGGGACAGCAGGCACCCAGTGTAGGTCAGGTGTGCCCACACCTTAAAGGCTCCTTGGAAGGCCAGTCTGAGCTCAGTGCTGGATTCGCACCCCCTTTCTGTGTGGTCTTAGAAAGGCAGCTGCCCTCACTTCGGTACAGTTTCTCTTGACGGGGAAACTGGTGTGAAGCAATGCTCCACTCGAGGGTAATACAAAAGAGACAGAGTTGCCCAAGAAGCAAGGACTGGTATCTCCCAGACCAGGGCTCTGGCAATACAGCCCTCCACCTCCAGCAGGCACAGTGCTCATGAGGAGGAATAGGAGTCCATGAGTGAGCCCTGGCCTCTGGCTCCCAGCAGTTTCTCCTACCCCTTGATCCCCACCATAGTCCCAAGATGAACTGGGTTTCACTCACCAGTTGAGCTAAAGCACAGGCGGAAAGAAGTGGTCAACACATAGATGGTGGCCAGGAACCCATTCAGAGGCCCATCCACACCAAGGAGCAGAGCCGAGGCCAGGCCAAAGGTGGTGAAGACAGCAAAGTCATTCAGTTCGAATCCTGCTTAGAGGTCAAGGTTAATCCTAGGCACATGTTCTGCACCCTAGCCTAGCCTGGAGCAGTGACAACTGGGGTGGTGCTGGGGTCTCAGGGTGCAGCAGCTGCTCCCTAATGGTGGCCTATGGAAGGTGATCCCAGTGAATACATGGAAAGCCAGAAAGTATAAACAGCAAAGAAACTGCCTAAGTAAGTCAAAGTGAAATCATTCCTCGTAAAACCCACAATAACCATAATAGTGTACTGTGGAGTATAAACACAGGAACAAAATCTCTACATAAATCAAAAGGAGAGTAAATGGAATTAAAAGAGAGAGGCAATGAAGATAGGAACTAAAAAGCAGGGCAAGGACCGGTCGAAGATGGGGAAGAGAGGCAGCGGGATGGGTCTAGGCTGCAGACAGCCTGCTTCCTGGGACAGGACTGCCTCTGCTATTCACGTGGGCATGTGAACAGCTGGGAGTGACTGAGGAAGGCGAGGGGTAGTGGCCTGAGATGGGTGTTCCCCAGGGTAGAGATTACAGGGGACCTGAGGTCTCGACTCACCCAGTTTTTGGCAGATGTTGAGGTATCTGATCATTGTCCCTATTGCCATGTCTAACAGGAAGCAGATCAGAAGCATCCAGGAAGCACAGTGGGGTTTCCTAGAGTGCAGGCCAGCAGGGTAGCTTCTTATAGTACCCACTGGACAAGTCCCCCACTCAGTACCCCCTCTTCACAAATTCCTATACCCGCACACACAAGTACTCCCGAACTCACGTCCCTTCTAGTATAAACTGCTTTAAATGTTTTATACACACCAACATGCATGACTCCCCCCCAAAAAAAACTCCCAACACATGGTGGTTTCCTGCTCCCCCACCCCCAAGTAATCACGAAGGTCCCTTCTAACTCTTAAGACCCAAGTGTATTTGATAGCACAGGGTCCCTCCTACTGCCTACTGCAGCCTCTACCACCATCACACTGTGACTTCACACATAAACTACTATTCGTCGTTTTCCCCACTTGTGAAATGAAGATTTATGCTACATGACTTCCTCTCATTTCTTCTCTTTTCCCCGCCTCTCTCCTTTCCTTTCTTTTATTCTGTGGTGGCTTCAATAAGAATGCCCCCCCCCCCTAAGCTCCTATGTCCAAACACTTGGTGCCCAGTTGGTGAAACTGTTTGGGAAGGATTAGGAGGCATGGCCTTGTTGGAGAAGGTGCGTTACAAGGTCAGACTTTAGGGTTTCAAAAGACTCCTGCCAGGGTCTCCCTCCTCGCTGTGCCTCTAGCTTTCAGATCAAGGTGTGAGCTCTCGGTTTCTACCTCATGCCTTTGCTCTGTCACCATGAACTCTGACCCTATGAAACTATAAGCCCAATTAAATGCTTTTTTTTTCCCTAAGCCGCCTTTGTCATAGTGTTTTATCACAGCAATAGCAAAAAGTAAGTAAGACACCTGTTCCCTACTTTTTGAGACAGGGTCTCTCACTGGGACCTGGGGCTCCCTGGTTTGGCAAGGCTGGATGATCAGTGAGCCCCACAGTTCCTCCCACGCCTGCCTCTCTGAGAGCACGCCACCACAGCCAGCTTTCTTACATGGTGGCTAAGAACTAAACTCAAGCGCTCAGGCCTGCGCCACAGGCACTTTCTCAGCTGAGCTATCTCCCCAAACCCTGGCCTTGGATTCCTGATCCTCCTGCCCCCACCACCTAATGGCTGGGGTTACAAGCTTATGCCACCATACCTGGCTAAATTTGAACTTTCCTACTTTAACCGTGAACTCTAATCCTGTGAAACTGTAAGCCCAATTAAATGCTTCTTTAGTTGCCTTTGCCATGTATGGTACTGTTTTTTTGTTTGTTTGTTTGTTTTTCTGTTTTGTTTTGTTTTTTTTTTCAGTACTGGAGCCTGAAGCTTGGGCCTCACACATTGTAGGCAAGCGCTGTCCCATTAGCTATCTCAGGGTTTGTACATTCTTTCTGTTTTCTGAGCTTTAGTTTAGTTCCATTTGACCTGAGCTTGCCTTCTTTATGACTTCTAGTCTCTTATATGCCTAGAATGCACTTTATCTTGGTGAATTCTCAAAGAGAGCCTGAGGATGGTCTGTAGTCTGCTCTTCTTGGATGAAGGTGTCAGTTACATCCAGACACTGGACGGTGCTGACGAGCTTAATCTGCGTGCCAGTTTTCTGTGGATTAGTGCTAGGTGTTGGCATCTCCAACTGTGGTATGGATCTGCCAGCGTCTCTCCAATTTCTCTTGAGTTTGATGTGTGGTAAGGAGCTTTCAGCAGCTCCCACATTCTCTCAGATTTGATGCCAACTCTGTTCTGAGTGATTTCCCAGAGTTCCTCATAGCCCACGTTCTCCATTGCACCTTGTCTATCACATTGCTCCCAGGTCCCTCTGTGAGTAGCCACACAGCCAAAGCAAACCTGCCCACAGAGGTGCACGACCAAGCGTGCTCTGGATTCCATCGTTTAGACAACCCTGCGGAAGCAGAGAGCCTGACATCCCCAGACAGCTTCAGCATTTGTTTAGACCACACCAGAGGCTCTAAAGGAGCCTGAGGCTAAAGGAAAACAACAGAACCTACAATTTGGTTAAACTGAGTTTTTCCTGCCACAGGTGGGCATTCTCCCACCGCATTATACTCTAAAACTCCAAACTTATGGATGAGAAACAGACACACAAGTCACATGCTGGTCATGGAGAATAAAGCACAGCAGGAATGCATCACTAAGGGTTTTCTTTTTTTTTTTTTTTTTTTTTAAAGAACTGATTTGCTAAAGGCCTCGAAATAGAATCCAACCTACAGGAACATAAATTGCTCCTGTTTTCTTGGTGGCACATGTAAGTGTGACAGAATTTCCGGGACAGTGATCATGTAAGACAAATCCTATATTCTGATTCAAGAACCAGAAAATATAAACAAAGCCAAGTGGGGTGGCCCACACCTACAGTCCCAGCAGAAGTTGAAGCAGAAGAATCAGAAGTTCAAGGACAGTATAAGCTGCATAGTGAGTTCAAGACCATCCCGGGCTACATGGGGAAAAGAGAGGATGAGAGGGAGGGGGAAGAGAAGGAAGGAAAAGAAGAAAGAGATAGAGAGGGAGACAGAGAGAGAAAATGGATGTGAGTACTACTACTATGTATCTTTTTTTTTCTCCTATAAGCCATTCTGAACTGCCATAGCTGAGGAAATAAGAAAACTTATAACCACAAACTCCTCATGTTATATGGAGCCTGAGGCTCAGATGTAAGCTAGCTGAAGCCACATATCAGAATGTGGCAACATGAAGGCCAGGACCCTGGTCCCTGACTTTGAAGCCATTATACTGCCCCCATCTCAGGGTTGATCCTTTGCCACAGTGGCTAGGTCTCTGGAGTCTGCTCCCACTTCCTCAAGCCATAGGCTCCAGTTTTAGGCTAAGAGCAGGCTGTGCCTGGGACCTACCTGCTGAAGCTACAGAAGATGGAGAAGAGCCCCAGCACCATGTTGGCCAGGGACAAGGCATTAATTATATCCTTCCAGGAGAATTCAGTCATCTGCTCACAGTTGCTGGTGTGCTGACCTGTGGTCCAGGAGAGATATACAGAGGGTTCCCAAGGTCAAGGGGTCTCCAGAGAGGCTCCCAAAGACCCCATGGCAGAAGTGTACCTTCTCATCTCCATCTCACCAACTGGATTGAGGAGACAAGTCAGGAAGGAGACACCAGAGTTAAAGACAAGGTTTGGGAAAGCTTAGCAGTGAGGCAGATGAACTTGCATGGCCATCCCATCCCCCTCGCCCTGGCCCCACAGCACAGACATCCTCTCAGAAGCATTCTTGACATCTCAAATGCCTCCTCTGAGAGATGGAGCCTCTTCGCAGACTAATGGCTGACTTGAGAGAAGCTGTGCATCTTCCCTTAAAGACCGCGGGGCATACCACAACACTGTCCCGTCCCGGCAGAAGGAAGGCAGCTTCACAGAACAGACATGGACAGCACTCAGTGGCTCCCCAGAACACACTGTGCTCTCACCTCTGGGCTAGGCCAGCTCAGAGGGTGTACTCTTTCTTCCCTTGTTTTAGGAAGGAGAAAACTCAAATTTGGCAAATTGGAGACGTCTCAAAGTTGCACGCCGAGTAGAACCAAATCCCAGCTGCTTGGTCCTCAATCTGCTGTTTCTGCTGCGGGTCAAGACTCCAGCAGGGGGAGGTTTGGGGGTTAGGACTAAGGAGTTCTCTGGGATAGCCTTACCAGACAGCCTTTGTGTGCTGGGGCAGCCCGGGCCTTTGACCATCCAGGACCCCTCTCCCAGCAGGAGGGAACTAGCTGGTCTACCCATCTTCACAAGCAGTCTTGGCTCTGTTTTCACACCATGTCCAAACAAATGTGCTCCTTACACATGAACTGTGTCCTCGCTGACACAGGCAATCCCCACTGATAGGGCTAAACACATCACATCAGCCACACATAGGAACCGTGCCCTGGAGTGATAGAAGTAAATTCTTGTTCTCTTTAAATCCTTCACTCATTTTGAGGCTCAGGCTTGACCTCCGGACAGCCTCTCTGGACAGCTCCAGGCTCTTATGGCCTGAGCAAGAATTGAGACAAGGCCAGACATGACAGTGCACATCTTTAATCCCAGCACCTGGGAGGCAGAGGCAGGTGGATCTCTGTGAGTTCAAGGCCAGCCTAATCTACATAGTGAAAATCTAGGACAGCCAGAGCTACATAGTGAAACACTGTCTCAAAAAACAAAAACAAAAATTTAATGGATTGCGACAAACTATATTCTTTTCAAGAAACCTTGCCAATGCCAGGCATGGTGGCACACACCTGCAATCCCAGCACTCAGGGAGGCGGAGGCAGGTGGGCAGATCTCTGTGAGTTCGAGGCCAGCCTGGTCTGCAAAGTGAGTACTGGACACCCAAGGCTACACAGGGAAACCCTGTCTCAAAAGAAACAAAACAAAAACAAAAACCAAATGAACAAACAACGCTGCCACCAAGATGGGCAAGGCGGGGAGGGGCTGGACTTGGGTCAGGGACTGGAGTATCCCAAAGCATCAATGAAGAGCTTGCTCTTCCCATAGGCAGCCTTAGTCACTAAAAGAATCAGTAGCTGCGTGACCAAAGCCCTCAGGATGAACACCTAAGACAGGAAATAATGAAAGCCTGGGAAAGCTGGGAGGGAAAGGAAGGGCTGGCTGCACTATCACATACCTACACAGCCATCTCTCCTGCCCCAAGGCCAACCCCACATGGGACCAGATACTTCAGCTCCTGACCCAGAAACCCGCTCACCTGCCAGCCCACCTACCATCTCCTAGAAAAGCATCCCTGTGGCTCTGCCCCTCAGGGCAGATCAGCAGACACCCCGCAACTGAACATTGCCTTGTCTGTATGTTTTAGCCTTAACTAATGGTTAACCATCTGCCATGCTGTCCTCCTTGCCCACAAAGCACTTGGACACCCGGGATTCCCACTGGCCCTGTGAGCTCAGTCAGCCACGGGTTATCATCCTTGCTTCTACATCCCAAGTAAGGCAAACACAATGGAGAGGGGAGCCTCGGGAAGGGGCGCTCTGAAGCTAAAGGATGAGACTCAGCTCTGCCTTGAGTGTCCTTTCCTCTGTACGCGGCCATCTACCAACAAACAGGACGGGACGTTGCTTGGCCTCTAGGCTTAGCTTAAGAGAATCCTTGTCGCCTTTGAAGAACGTGCAGCCAGTCTAGTGTCCAGAACAGTGCTTCTCAATCTGTGGGTCATGACCCCTTTGGGGTCGAATGACCCTTTCCCAGGGGTCGCATATCAGCTATCCTGGATATCAGATATTTACACTGTAATTCATAACAGTAGCAATATTATAGTTATGAAGTAGCAAGGAAAATGGTTTTATGTTTGGGGCCAGCTCACCATGAGGTACGAACTATTGCAAGGTTGCAGCAATAGGAGGGTTGAGAGCCGCTGGTCTAGAGAAATGAGACACGAGCATACATGGGGCCCCTTAATTTTACAGATGGGAAAGCAAGGCTTCCAAATGGGAAAGAACTTGTCTCAGGAAATGGTAGAGCCAGGGCTTGAATAAAATTTCCTCTTCCTTGGTTAAATACTATCTGAAAAAATAAAATGCACAGTTTCTGGGAGCAAAAGGATGCAGACGGGGATGAAAGGGCTATTGGAGTCCACAGGAATGGACAGCAATCTCCTCACTCCTGCAGCAGATGCTGGTTTAGGAACAATTCTGATGCTTGGTACTGCCAACACAGAGATTGCGGAATTGATCTTTCAAGGAACAGTCAAGCAGAGGATGCAGCCCAGCATGGAAGAGACACCATGACCATGTGAGCACAGAGGCGCTGGCTTGCCTGGGGGAGGCTTTCAGAGGAAGGTTAGAGCTGCAGCTGGCTTTGTGCCCAAGGCCCTGAAGGGGCAGATTTGGTCATATGCCGGCTTCCCGAGTCCTTCAGTCTAGAGGCCAGCCCCACAGCAGCCCCGCCAGGTCTCCAGCTCCCACTCTCTGGCTCTGCTGAAACCCCTCTGGGGCCCTTCGTGGGGCCTGGATTGGTCGTCTCTGAGGAGCCTCTGACACCTGCAGAGCTCGGAAGGGCTCCTCTTGGAAGGCTTCTTGTGCTCACCGTGTAACACCTGGCACTCTTTATTGGCTTCGCCTACCTTGTCTTCTTTTCCTAGAGGGGACACAACTTGAATGCAGACTAGGGTCCCCTCTGCCAAGCATGAGGCCTGACAATAAAAAGCGCCCAATGTTAGTTCATACAGTACACCACTGAGGTTCTCTTGGGGCATTGACTCTAATGTACTGGGAATCTAGTCCTCCTCATTGAGGCCTCTGTAAAGCTATTTTTGATGAACCCCTTCAGTGCATCAGGCAATGGCCCAATCCTTAGCTTTTATTCATCCCATTCTTTCCGATGCCTCCCTAGACCATGCTTTACATATGTGGTAGGCAGAACAAGACCCAAGTGCTACCCTCGGAATATACAGTCTGGATGGAATGGTCAGGAGCTTGAGGAAATGTGTGGTGTGTGTAACTGGGGCATGTTCCAGTTGCCCTGGGTATTCCGGGAAGCGAAATCCAAGTCTAGGGCAAGGGAGATTTTCACCCCTGTGGTGACATTTGCCAGGGGCTCTAAGGATGGGGGCGGGGGAGGTTGCCAAAAAGAATTAAAAACAAGACACTGTGGTGACTGGAGGTGAGGTCGGTGAGGTCCGAGCTGAGACCCTCTCCAAGGTGACGGGGGGGGGGGGGGCGTCAGCTCTCTGATGTGACGGAACAAAATGGACTAGGGGAGACATTGAGAAACAGAAGTTGATGGTGTGAGCACCCACCCCGCGGAATGGCAGAGCTCCCGAGACGGCGGAGGGTGCCCTCTCAAGGCAGCGTGGGCACCGGTGAGGGTGAAGGTGTACTTTCCAACAGTGGTCCCATCGCTCACACTGATAACCCCTTCCCTGGAGGCCGGAGGCCATCTCTCGCAGGCCTCCCGCGCCGGTTGTCCAGGTAACCGGGTTAAACCCAATTCTGCCAGATGGCCTGGAGGTCCCTGACCCTCTTTCTTGCCCCCCTGCTCCGTGTTAGCGGAAAATGCTTACCTGGAGATCAGACATTCCTAGATAGAGTTGGGCACCCCCACCCCACTCCCGCAGTCTTTTCTTCTGCCGTTTTGAGGAGGAGGGTCCAGCCCAGGTGAGCGTGCATCTATGCGGGTCCAGCCTCTTAACTTGGCTCTTAGCTCACAATCCAGACAGGGGAGGGGCTGCAGAGCCTTTAGACAGAGGCGCCTCGATTTACAGCTCTTGCAGTGTGAGGGGAGGGGCGGGCCACGGAGGAGTCTCCCGAGTGGGGGCTGCTTTCTCCATCTTGAACCTGAATAGAGCTATCCTTCACAATGGGCGCAGTGGCTGGAGATGGGCTGTGACTAACTTAAAGACTGTATAAAAGCAGGCTGGGATCCACATCGTGAAAAGCCCCTTGAGTGCCCGCTCCAAGCACGTTTGACCTTTCACAGGACTGCTTTTTTGTACCTAAAGAGTGATGTAAACATATAGTAACATTTCTCAGGGGGATGAGGACTTGTGGGATTGGGGACCAAAAACGAAGACGATGTTTTTACGTCAAATTCTTTCTGAAAGGTGGTTCTGGCAGTCACCTTACTGGAAGGAAGTATTAAGACCAAAGCTGTGTCGGTGAATGGAGAGGCATCCAGGGAGAGAATTCCAGGGTGTGAGGGAGGCCCTGAGCAAGAGCAAAAGCTTTCCAGACAGGTTCTGAATGCACCAGTTGGTTGGATAGTGTGCTACAGAATTTTTTTTTTCCAAGTCAGGGTTTCTGTGTGTCGCCCTGGCTGTCCTGGAACTTGCTCTGTAGACCAGGCTGCCTTGAAACTGTGCAGCGGAGGCTAGCCTTGAACTCATGTGATCCTCCTGCCTCAGTCTCCCTCTTACTGAGGTTATAGGTCTGAGGCACCCCAGGTTTAAAAAGTGATGGATAATATTCTAAGGTAGGACCCACCCTCACCTGTCCCACAGCCGAACCACACTGAGCCTAAATTGCAGCAGCAAGAGTATCCAGGGCCCAAAGAATATGCAATAGAAAGGTGAGGCTAAGAGGTCATGTGACAACACCATCAGCAAGGGAGAGGAGCCAGCATGAGCTCAGGGG